AATAAAGAAAAGCATTTTACTTTAGATCTTCTTTAAAATTTTAATGAGTACAATTACCTATTTTAATAAACTTTATTAAAAATCAACTGCACTTAAAAGTTTGTACACAACAAATCAAGTATTTCTATGCAAAAAACAGTTAGAAAACAGACCATTCACGGATCACATATGCAGTACAGTTTCAGAAGACAGCAAAAACTTAACAATGAAGCTTGAGGGCTGGGCATACAGCTCAGCAGCACAAGTGCATGCCTGCCTAGCACAAGGCCCCAAGTTCAACTCCTGGCACCAAAAAGAAGTGCAAAATAACACCTGAAAAAAGCAGTGAATGACTAGGGGTGTGGCTGAGTGGTAGAGTGCCAGCCTAGAACGCCCTGCCCAGCGCCACAAAAATAAAGTTAGAAGGAAAGTGGGAGAGGAAGGGAGTCAACACTGAGACCCAGACAAAACAGTGACAAAAAAAAGCCTTGGAGTATTAAAGTACTACTGGATGGATTCCCAAAATGAGGGTATTCAAATTTTAATCCAAATTTAGTGTGTTTATTTTGAAATGTCACTAAATTTGACATAAATAATGCCAATCTGAGACAGCCAAAAAATAAATGCCAAAATGATATCTATAGATAACTGTCCCCTACATTTGTAATAAGTAAATTAATTAAATATGCAATGTCCAAGTCTATCAAATGGGATCCTAAGACTCCATAACTAAATGCAGTGACACAGGGGCCAGGGATATAAGCTCAGCAGCACAGTGCCTGCCTGGCAAACAAGAGGTCATGAGTTTGATTTCCAATACCCAAAAAACAAAAAACTTGAAAATGTGGTGACATAACAACATAAGCAATAAAAAAACAGACAATATGAGTAATGGTTACCATTAATGTACTTAATAAAGTACAAGTGACACTGCCCTGTCACTCCTGGGCAGGAGCCACCCTGCTCTGTGCTTGCCGACTGCATAAACGCTCCTGTTTCTCCTGCCATCAGCTGTGTGAGGGACACAGATGCTGACTGTTCAGAGCCACGAGGCGCAGAATGTACTCACAGGAAGTATTCGCTCTGCAGTGTCGCTCCCGCTCCAGCACGTACCCTTCTTCACAGCCACAGCGGTGATGGCCCATGCGGTTTTCACACTTCTGGTCACAAATGCCCCATATCTGGCAGTCGTCAAAAGCTGTGACATGAGAAAGACACATTCACGATCCTGGTTGCCAACGTCTCTTGAGTACACTCAGACTAAAATCCTGAACCAGACATCATGCCATTGTCCAAAGGAGCACTCTCTGGAGGCTGGAACAAGTCGCAGGTGACAGTGAAAAACACTGTTCAATTAGGTCTGCATCCAGGGAAGAGCCCAAAGCACTGGAATCAGCCATTTTTATCTACGTGAAGGATAACTTCATAGAAGATGCAGAGCCTGTGTGGATTCATGGCCCCATGGCACTGCATTTCATTGATTATCCCGTCTACAAAAATACCTGCATATGCTTTTTGATGCACATATTTCCCAAATGGGACCCACTGAGTGCTGAGTACCAAACTGGAGAATGAAGATGCAGAATTATCTGCATATCTGCAAAAAGTTCTGTCGGGCACCACTTTCCCAGAATATAATCAGACATCCTCAAACCCAGCCCCTGGAGAAGCCACAGTCTGTGGCTCCAACAGCATGGAAAGCTCTGTGTACCTGTCTTTTCTTCGATATCAAAAAGCCATTATCAAAACTAAACTTATTTTCTTTTTTTTTT